GCTAACATCAGAACGGCGTTCAGGAACCTGTGTAAGGAAGCATTCAGAATCTTGTACACCACATATGTAAGACCAATCCTGGAGTATGCGGCCCCAGCATGGAGCCCGTACCTTGTCAAGCACAAGACGAAGCTGGAAAAAGTCCAAAGGTATGCTACTAGACTAGTCCCAGAACTAAGAGGCATGAGTTATGAGGAAAGGCTGCGGGAAATGCACCTCACGACACTGGAAGACAGAAGAGTAAGGGGGGACATGATCACAACCTACAAAATCCTCAGGGGAATCGACCGGGTAAACAAGGATGAACTATTCAACACTGGTGGGACGCGAACAAGGGGACACAGGTGGAAGCTGAGTACCCAAATGAGCCACAGAGACGTTAGAAAGAACTTTTTCAGTGTCAGAGTAGTTAGTAAATGGAATGCATTAGGAAGTGATGTGGTGGAGGCTGACTCCATACACAGTTTCAAATGTAGATATGATAAAGCCCAATAGGCTCAGGAATCTGTACACCAGTTGATTGACGGTTGAGAGGCGGGACCAAAGAGCCAGAGCTCAACCCCCGCAAGCACAATTAGGTGAGTACAATTAGGTGAGTACACACACACACACACACACACACACACACACACACACACACACACACACACACACACACACACACACACACACACACACACACACACACACACACACAGGCGAACAGGCGAGGACAGGTATACAGAGAATGACAGAGAGGTGTGTGAAGAACTCAACAAGAGGTTTCAGGAGGTCTTCACAATAGAACAAGGTGAGGTCACTGTGCTAGGAGAAAGGGAGGTAAACCAGGCGGCCTTGGAAGAGTTCGAAATTACGAGAGAGGTGGTCAAGAGACACCTGCTAGATCTGGATGTTAGAAAGGCTGTTGGTCCAGATGGGATCTCACCATGGGTACTGAAAGAGTGTGCAGAGGCACTTTGCTTGCCACTCTTCATAGTGTAAGTCACTGGAGACGGGAGACCTACCAGAAATATGGAAGACGGCGAATGTGGTCCCAATATACAAAAAGGGCGACAGGCAAGAGGCACTGAACTACAGGCCAGTGTCCTTGACTTGTATACCATGCAAGGTGATGGAGAAGATCGTGAGAAAAAACCTGGTAACACATCTGGAGAGAAGGGACTTCGTGACAAATCGCCAACATGGGTTCAGGGAGGGTAAATCTTGCCTTACAGGCTTGATAGAATTCTACGATCAGGTGGCAAAGATTAAGCAAGAAAGAGAGGGCTGGGAGGACTGCATTTTCTTGGATTGTCGGAAAGCCTTTGACACAGTACCGCATAAGAGGCTGGTACATAAGCTGGAGAGACAGGCAGGTGTAGCTGGTAAGGTGCTCCAGTGGATAAGGGAGTATCTAAGCAATAGGAAGCAGAGAGTTATGGTGAGGGGTGAGACCTCCGTTTGACGTGAAGTCACCAGTGGAGTCCCACAGGGCTCTGTACTCGGTCCTATCTTGTTTCTGATATATGTAAATGATCTCCCGGAGGGTATCAATTCATTTCTCTCAATGTTTGCTGACGATGCTAAAATTATGAGAAGGATTAAAACAGAAGAGGACTGTTTGAGGCTTCAAGAAGACCTAGACAAGCTGAAGGAATGGTCGAACAAATGGTTGTTAGAGTTTAACCCAACCAAATGTAATGTAATGAAGATAGGTGTAGGGAGCAGGAGGCCAGATACAAGGTATCATCTGGGAGAGGAAATTCTTCAGGAGTCAGAGAAGGAAAAAGACTTGGGGGTTGATATCACGCCAGACCTGTCTCCTGCAGCACATATCAAGCGGATAACATCAGCGGCATATGCCAGGCTGGCCAACATACGAACGGCATTCAAAAACTTGTGTAAAGAATCCTTCAGAACTTTGTATACCACATATGTCAGGCCAATCCTGGAGTATGCAGCCCCAGCGTGGAGTCCATATCTAGTCAAGGATAAGACTAAACTGGAAAAGGTTCAAAGGTTTGCCACCAGACTAGTATCCGAGCTGAGAGGTATGAGCTACGAGGAGAGACTACGGGAATTAAACCTCACTTCGCTGGAAGACAGAAGAGTTAGGGGGGACATGATCACCACATTCAAGATTCTGAAGGGAATTGATAGGGTAGATAAAGACAGTCTATTTAACACAAGGGGAACACGCACAAGGGGACACAGGTGGAAACTGAGTGCCCAAATGAGCCACAGAGATATTAGAAAGAACTTTTTTAGTGTCAGTGTGGTAGACAAATGGAATGCATTAGGAGGTGATGTGGTGGAGGCTGACTCCATACACAGTTTCAAGTGTAGATATGATAGAGCCCGATAGGCTCAGGAATCTGTACACCTGTTGATTGACGGTTGAGAGGCGGGACCAAAGAGCCAGAGCTCAACCCCCGCAAACACAACTAGGTGAGTACAACTAGGTGAGTACAAACACACACACACACACAGAGGAAGCAGCTCTGTAACAGCTGTCTAACAACCAGGTACCTATTAACTGCTAGGTAACAGGGGCATTCAGGGTGAAAGAAACTTTGCCTATTTGTTTCTGGGTGGTCCGGGAATCGAACCCGGGCCACAGAATTACGAGTCCTGCGCACTGTCCCTTCAGCTACCAGACCCCTGATGAAGAGTGCCGTGATGCATCAGACCTGTGCAATGTCTGCCTCGGCAGTATGGAGCATGGTGCTGCAACATGGCCGGGGCGGTTGGGCCCCGGGCAGCTGGGCCCCGGGCAGCTGGGCCCCTGGGCGGCTGGGCCCCGGGCAGCTGGGCCCCGGGCAGCTGGGCCCCGGGCAGCTGGGCCCCTGGGCGGCTGGGGTAATGCTTCAGGTTATATGCAACTTCAGTTACTGACGACTCCTGGCCCTGTGGCTCAGCCAACACTTACCCATAGATACACACTTTATACTGCGAGCAAACATGTGTTTTTGACTTGCATCATTCCCCCACACACACCTGGCCCTCGTGCCACACACCTGGCCCTCGTGGCACACACACCTGGCCCTCGTGCCACACACACCTGGCCCTCGTGGCACACACACCTGGCCCTCGTGCCGCACACACCTGGCCCTCGTGCCACACACACCTGGCCCTCGTGGCACACACACCTGGCCCTCGTGTCACACACACCTGGCCCTCGTGGCACACACACCTGGCGCTCGTGCCACACACACCTGGCCCTCGTGCCGCACACACCTGGCCCTCGTGCCACACACACCTGGCCCTCGTGCCACACACACCTGGCCCTCGTGCCGCACACACCTGGCCCTCGTGCCACACACACCTGGCCCTCGTGGCACACACACCTGGCCCTCGTGCCACACACACCTGGCCCTCGTGCCGCACACACCTGGCCCTCGTGGCACACACACCTGGCCCTCGTGCCACACACCTGGCCCTCGTGGCACACACACCTGGCCCTCGTGCCACACACACCTGGCCCTCGTGGCATACACACCTGGCCCTCGTGCCGCACACACCTGGCCCTCGTGCCGCACACACCTGGCCCTCGTGCCGCACACACCTGGCCCTCGTGCCGCACACACCTGGCCCTCGTGCCACACACACCTGGCCCTCGTGCCACACACCTGGCCCTCGTGCCACACACACCTGGCCCTCGTGCCACACACACCTGGCCCTCGTGCCACACACACCTGGCCCTCGTGCCACACACACCTGGCCCTCGTGGCACACACACCTGGCCCTCGTGCCACACACACCTGGCCCTCGTGCCGCACACACCTGGCCCTCGTGCCACACACACCTGGCTCTCGTGCCACACACCTGGCCCTCGTGGCACACACACCTGGCCCTCGTGCCACACACACCTGGCCCTCGTGGCACACACACCTGGCCCTCGTGCCGCACACACCTGGCCCTCGTGCCACACACACCTGGCCCTCGTGCCACACACACCTGGCCCTCGTGGCACACACACCTGGCCTTCGTGCCACACACACCTGGCCCTCGTGGCACACACACCTGGCCCTCGTGCCACACACACCTGGCCCTCGTGCCGCACACACCTGGCCCTCGTGCCACACACACCTGGCCCTCGTGCCGCACACACCTGGCCCTCGTGCCACACACCTTGCCTTCGTGTCCCCCACGCACCTGACACTCGTGTTGTACCCTCTCTGTGCAATAAATATATGCTCTTGATTATTATTTAATGTGTTGGATAACGGAAACTATAGTTATCGGACATCTGGGGACCAAGTTAAGTGAGCAGGTTCTTCACACGGGAATGTTGGGTTAAGCGGAAGTTGAATTTATTTATAAGTTAATATTTGAATATACATATAAATCGTGTATCTATCTCACCTTGTAACCTGATGCCTTCCCTGCTCACACAGTTGCCAGTATACCTGGTGTTATCTACCTGTACCCTGACAATGATGCCTTCCCTGCTCACACAGTTGCCAGTATACCTGGTGTTATCTACCTGTACCCTGACAATGATGCCCTCCCTGCTCACACAGTTGCCAGTATACCTGGTGTTATCTACCTGTACCCTGACAATGATGCCCTCCCTGCTCACACAGTTGCCAGTATACCTGGTGTTATCTACCTGTACCCTGACAATGATGCCTTCCCTGCTCACACAGTTGCCAGTATACCTGGTGTTATCTACCTGTACCCTGACAATGATGCCCTCCCTGCTCACACAGTTGCCAGTATACCTGGTGTTATCTACCTGCACCCTGACAATGATGCCCTCCCTGCTCACACAGTTGCCAATATACCTGGTGTTATCTACCTGTACCCTGACAATGATGCCCTCCCTGCTCACACAGTTGCCAATATACCTGGTGTTATCTACCTGTACCCTGACAATGATGCCCTCCCTGCCCACAGTTGCCAGTATACCTGGTGTTATCTACCTGTACCCTGACAATGATGCCCTCCCTGCCCACAGTTGCCAATATACCTGGTGTTATCTACCTGTACCCTGACAATGATGCCCTCCCTGCCCACAGTTGCCCCGAGGGTGACCCTGAGGCTCGGGTACAACCTCCAGACGCGGCCGGTCACCGAGGGAGAGGACGTCTACTTCGAGTGTGAGGTGGCCAGCAACCCTCCGCCCTTCTCCATCACTTGGTACAGGAATGTGAGTACACCTTACCTGGAGCGTGACTCTGGCAGCCATCCCTGCACCACGGCTCTCACTTGGGTCACCGCCTCACACTTTAAGTCAAACAATTTCCTATAACTTTTAATTTGCAAAATTAAACTTGACCTAACTCTCGGGTTCGGTGTTAGCCTAACACGTTGGGCGCCAGATGCAGTTTCTTAAGTAAGGAGGAATTTAGAGTGGTTTACACTGTCTACGTGAGACCAGTGTTAAAGTATGCCGCCCCATCATGGAGCTCCCACCTGATGAAACACAAAAAAGAAGCTGAAAAAGTTCGGAAGTTTGTGACAAGGCTCGTTCCAGAATAGCGAGAGATGGGGGTATGAAGAGTGACTGAAAAAACTGAACCTGACGACGCTATAAGAAAAGAAAAGAGGAGGATAATATGATAGAGAGATACAATATACTTAAGGGGATTGGCTGTAGAATTAGATGAAATGTTCACAGTGAATACCATCAGAACAAGGGGTCATGGGTGGAAGCTGGAAACTCAGATGAGTCATAGAGATGTTAGAAAGTTTTCATTTAGCATAACAGAAGTGGGAAAATGGAACGAGCTAAAGGTTGTAGAGGCAAATTCTACTAATTATTTTAAAATTAGATATCATAGGGCAATATAACAGGAGTCATGACTTTAAACAACCGGTGCTAGAAGGCAGGGCCCAAGAACTAATGCTCAATCCTGCAGGCACAAATAGATGAGCTCACACTTCTCAAATGAAGAAAAACATAAGAAACATAGAGAAGGTTCGAGCTAGAGCCACAGATCTGTCATGTTCAGAGAAACATTGTACATATATAAAGTCAAACACAACACAGTAGTAATGACAACACAATAACAACATTAACAGTTATAAACTGTAGAATTACTAATCTGAGTAAATTTACTAAAGTAAAACATAATTGTTTACAATGTACCGACGATGAGATACATTATACACGACACGAGGAAACTTTAGACTTAATTTTACTCAGAAAGTCAGTACGTTGCATACAAGTTAATAAATAATTAACCAACTATTTATACCATAAAGATAATGAGGCTTGCACTCTACACAGAGACCTCGGGCCCAGCCTGGTCACAGGTCGGGCACCACACACATGATATCACTAGTATCACGACGCTTGCACTCTACACAGAGACCTCGGGCCCAGCCTGGCCACAGGTCGGGCACCACACAACTCTACACAGAGACCTCGGGCCCAGCCTGGCCACAGGTCGGGCACCACACACATGATATCAGTAGTATCACGACGCTTGCACTCTACACAGAGACCTCGGGCCCAGCCTGGCCACAGGTCGGGCACCACACACATGATATCACTAGTATCACGACGCTTGCACTCTACACAGAGACCTCGGGCCCAGCCTGGCCACAGGTCGGGCACCACACACATGATATCACTAGTATCTAAAATGTTTGTCAACAAGTCATCTCTTTTTCACATACATTCCTTAATAATTACAAGTATCCACCCGGGTGTAGTCCTCAAGTCTGTGCTCAGTACCTATACTGTACCCTGTAGACCAGCTGCACCTCCATATAGACCAGCTGCACCTCCATATAGACCAGCTGCATCTTCATATATAGACCAGCTGCACCTTCATATATAGACCAGCTGCACCTCCATATAGACCAGCTGCACCTCCATATAGACCAGCTGCACCTTCATATATAGACCAGCTGCACCTTCATATATAGACCAGCTGCACTTCCATATAGACCAGCTGCACCTCCATATAGACCAGCTGCACCTCCATATAGACCAGCTGCACCTTCATATAGACCAGCTGCACCTCCATATAGACCAGCTGCACCTCCATATAGACCAGCTGCACCTCCATATAGACCAGCTGCACCTCCATATAGACCAGCTGCACCTTCATATAGACCAGCTGAACCTCTATACAAGTCACGATGGTAAACTCATGATCAATGTAAGTAACAGAAATCATGGTACTAGTGAAGAAACACGTACCAGAAGGATGGAGTGGGTATACTAGTGAAGGAACACGTACCAGAAGGATGGAGTGGGTATACTAGTGAAGGAACACGTACCAGAAGGATGGAGTGGGTATACTAGTGAAGGAACACGTACCAGAAGGATAGAGTGGGTATACTAGTGAAGGAACACGTACCAGAAGGATGGAGTGGGTATACTAGTGAAGGAACACGTACCAGAAGGATAGAGTGGGTATACTAGTGAAGGAACACGTACCAGAAGGATAGAGTGGGTATACTAGTGAAGAAACACATACCAGAAGGATGGAGTGGGTATACTAGTGAAGGAACACGTACCAGAAGGATAGAGTGGGTATACTAGTGAAGGAACACGTACCAGAAGGATAGAGTGGGTATACTAGTGAAGGAACACGTACCAGAAGGATAGAGTGGGTATACTAGTGAAGGAACACGTACCAGAAGGATGGAGTGGGTATACTAGTGAAGGAACACGTACCAGAAGGATGGAGTGGGTATACTTGTGTAGGAACACATACCAGAAGGATGGAGTGGGTATACTTGTGTAGGAACACATGCCAGAGGTAAGATATGCATTAGTCTAAATAAAGAACTCTGTAGTTGCTTCCATATCAACATAACAAACTACTGTCATTATGCAGACTGGCAGTTATTATCGTGTTCATAGTAACACTATGAACGAAGAATTTATCTGTCTGCCCTCTGGCTTCCCAGCTGACGATCTATGTATCCCTGATTGTTTGCATCCTAAACTAGCTATTACATGCCACTATTTAGTGTCTTGGTGGCGTGAACTATTCAGTACTACAACTCGTATGGTTCCTGTACATACTCCGCTTCTCTATGCTTCTAAAGGTTTATACAACGTTGAACCTTTAAAACATACTAGACATTTGATTAACATATCTTCTCAAATCATTAGACATTTACATGTATCAAATCAGGTACGCCTAAGTAGCTGAGATATGGATTATTGTCCTATGTGAAAATTTCTTACTAAAATAGGATCACACGATTAGGTGTTTTTATTTTTGTATTATTTACTTTCTATTTTTGTCCATTGTTGTCAAAACTAAAAGCAACAGAAGCTGGCTGTCGCGAAGGGTTGTGTCTAATGTTTCATGTTCCTCTGTTGCTCTAGTTCTTCTGCAACCCTTGCAGAGTGTCTCCTTGTGGATTAGTGGGGCTCACGTACGACTCCCTGAGTCTGGTGAGGGTTACCTTGGCCCTCTCTCCGGGTGTTGTACGTGCTAAGGTACACTCTCTTAGGGATCTTATTCGGTTCAACGGACCTCCTGCTGGAGCGGCCGCATTTGGTGGATGGGAGGGTGTCCAGGCTGGGATAAAACAGTTTAAGAGGTCTTTGCACATGTGTGGGAGAATATGTGAGGGAAAAGGACTCCTGTTAAGAAGTGGGAGCACCGCTGTCGACGACTCATCCCTTTCTGCACAGGCCAGGACTCGGCTTCCCTAACTGACCTGGAAGGAAGTCTCCCCTGGCTCCGAGACCCAGACTTTTGAAGTTAATGTTGTATGGATACCGAACTGACTTCTCTTACAGACTGGCTCGTGGGGATTGGACGATCATGTCCACCGTGTCGGCGGGTGATGGAAGATTGGGCTTCGTAGCTCCGGCTCCAAAGGGATCAGACCACGCTCCTTTGTTGATTCACCTGAATGACCCTCTCTGCTCCTCTTCAACTTCCGTGGGAGGGTACAGCCCCAAGCCACTGGTGGTGACCACCTCGTTGTCTGGAGTGGCTCCATCTCTTGGTGTGACAACGACGCTTTTTAACCCCCTCATACTGGCGGAGCTCAGCGCCACACCTACCACACTCGAATGTGCACTGTTCGTTCCAACTCGTCTACGTTCCAAGATTTGTTTGGTTCTGCCAAGTGGACTAAGTATTTTGACCTTTCTAACAGTGATCGTACACATCCTGATGACTTACACATCCGTCAACACAGGATGATTCAGTTGATACCCGTGTCACTTTTAGCCCCACCCGCACTGGCACAGGTGTAGTTGCAACCCTTCTCAGGAGGCACCAGACCGCCTGGCAGCGTTGTCCTGCATGGGTGAGACCCCTGCTTGGGTCTCCAAAAATGCCAGCATCTGCACAGTCATTCTTATGCTCTATCCCAGCAAACACTTTACGTCTTTTGACATTTTTAATTGGTCGCAGAAAGGTGACGCTGTACCTGTTTATATAAAGTCGTCTTTCTAACATGTATAATACGTTAAATTCACTCAATCAAATCGTAGACTTTTTTTGCAAATATAGAACTGCCTGTTTAAAACGTTTCTAATTTAAATTAACTACAAATACTTAACGTTTGTGTGCACTTCAAATCTACATTTGAAACTGTGTATTGGAGTCAGCCTCCACCACACCACTGCTTAATACATTTCATTTATTATCTACTCTGACACTGAAAAAAAAAATATTTTTAATGTCTCTGTGGCCTATTTGGGTACTTAGTTTACACCTGTGTCTCTTTATTCATGTTCCACCCATGCTAAAGAGTTTGTCTTTGTCACATTGTCAATTCCTCTGAGAATTTTGTAGGTGGTTATCATGTTTCCGCTTACTCTTCTGTTTCCAAGAACGTGAGGGTCATACCCTTATGTATACCCCTAGTCTTTCCTATGTGTGTGTGTGTGTATTCACCTAGTTGTGTTTGTGGGGGTTGAGCTTTGCTCTTTCGGCCCGCCTCTCAATTGTCAATCAACTGTTTACTAACTGCTATATTTATTTATTTTTTTAACACCACACACACACACCCCAGGAAGCAGCCCGTGACAGCTGACTAACTCCCAGGTACCTATGTACTGCTAGGTAACAGGGGCAATCAGGATAAAAGAAACTTTGCCCATTTATTTCTGCCTGGTACAGGAATCGAACCCGCTCCACAGAATTACGAGTCCTGCGCGCTATCCACCAGGCTACCAGGCCAGCCCCCCCCCCCCACCCTGTGTGTGTGTGTGTGTGTGTGTTTGTGTGCACATGTGGTGTGTGTAGTAGTACTAATAGGTAAGAATTGCCACCAGAACAGGAGTATGGAGGAGTTCCTGGGGGCCTGTAGCGAGAGTGAGTGTAATACAATACTGTCTGTGGTCAACAGCTCTTGGGCTGTACATGGCTATAGGCTCACCGCAGCAGCCAGCCTCGCTCCACCTGTGGGTCGCCCTGGAGCTCCGCTGACGTCGCCCAATACGTCAACGGACCTCCACTCTCCCACCCGCCCCACATCCATTTCTCTCTGTCTTTGTTTTTTTTTTTTTGCTCTCTCTCTCTCTCTCTCTCTCTCTCTCTCTCTCTCTCTCTCTCTCTCTCTCTCTCTCTCTCTCTCTCTCTCTCTCTCTCTCTCTCTCTCTCTCTCTCTTGATCTTTGTCTCTCTGCCTGTTAACTTATTTATTTATATATATATTAATTTATTTATATATATGCAAGAAGGTACAATGGGTTTATGAACACATAGCAATGATGTTTATACATTCTTGTAGAGCCACCAACGCGCATCGCGTTTCAGGCAGGTCTTTAATCTAACATATAATTTTAAGTAGGTAATTTGTAGCATAATTTGAGGATTATTTCTAGGTCCATTGTGGTTCAACATAACAACCATGATATAAGATGATAGCAGTGATTACAATGGTGTAGTTATATGGCTTAGGCACATATTCTGGGGTAGAACACGATACAGTGCGAGTGTGAAGCACTAGGTAGAAATATATGAGGATGACATTAGGTACTTTTTGGTGTTACTTTTGAATAAGGGGGAAGGTTGGACAGCTTTTTAATTCGTTAGTGAGTTCATAGACTAGGTCCCTGTATTTGCATAGTGTTTACACAGATTTAGTTTGACTCGGGGATATCAGAAATATTTGTCTGGTGTGGTGATTATGGGTTCTATTACATCCGTCAAGGAAGAGTTTCAGATCAGGGTTGGCATCTAGGAACAGGGTTTTGTATATGTAAAGGGAACAAGAGAATGTGTAAAGTGAGTTTGTTTAGCACGTTGAGGGATTTAAACAGGGGAGAGCTATGTGTTGTCTGAAAGCAGAGTTTGTTGATGTTCTGATAGCAGAATTTTGCTGGGTGATGATGGGCCTGACGGAGTTTGCAGTGGTTGAACCCCATGCACAGATAATGTATGTAAGATAGGGATAGATTATCGCATACTATGAGAAGAGAGCAGAGTTTGGAACATAATGTCTGATTTTAGAAAGTATACCAACCGTTTTTTGAGACTCTTTTTGTTAGTGTGTTGTATGTGGGTGCTGAAGTTGAGTCTCTTATCTATGTATAGGCCAAGGATATTTCCATCCTTTTTATTGCTGATGTTAACATTGTTTATCTGAAGCTGAATTGCATTTGTTGATTTGCTTCCAAATCAGATATAATAGGTCATTGCGATGTTTAGTGTGAGTTTGATGGTTGCCACCCATGAGTGGATTTTTTAAATCGTTATTTGCAACATTATTTAGTGTGTGTGGGTTGAGGTCTGAATAGATGAAGGTATTATCGTCAGTAAATAATATAGGTTTATGAATGTTAGAGACATTAGGCAGATTATTAATGTATACAAGAAATAGGAGAGGCCCTAGGATGTTGCCCTGTGGCACTCCTACGGTTAATGGTAGAGTGGGTGAGGTTATATCATTGATGGCTACATATTGGTGTCTGTCATTAAGATAGGATCGGATATAGTTCAGGGCATGGCCTCGGATTCATTAATGGTGAAGTTTGAGTAAGAGGTAGTTATGATTAACAGTATCAAAGGCCTTTCTCAGGTCATTCATTTTCACACTTATTTATTTCATGGGAAAGTTTCCTAGTACAATCATATAGGGAATTATCATATGAAGAACCTGGTGAAACTACAAGCAAGAGCTATAATCCTTCATCAGCTAAGTTAAAACCTACTCCTAGAGGCCCATTTATTTAATGAGCCTGTTAAGTGCATCAGTAGGAATAGCCTTAATTCATTAACAACATTATATAACAATCATATAAGGAACAGAATGACCTTGTGATAACTGTGTGATAGAGCCTTCATGTGACCAGTTGACCTGATCTCCCGTGTATCAACCT